AGCTTCTTACCCCAACTCTGAACTCTAAATCGCGGAGGACTTCTCTCTTGCTCTGCTGTTATTTCCGAAGCGTTAGATGACTGAAGGATCAAGGTCCTGCGTTGCAGCACTTAGGCGCCGCGAACTGACTTGCGGTCTTGGTACTTACTGTATACTTTTGGTGGGAACGTTGCATGTGTCATTGCAGGAGCAAGCCGAAACATGATCAACATGACAATGTACCCTTGGAAATGAAAAGCTCATGCTCAGCAATCAAAAGATACTTCTTTTTGAAGGTTCTGCATAGGTTCGTGAGGCTTCTGATCATCAGACACTTAGTCATACATATCCAGGTTCAGACTTTGAAATCGACGGTTCAGTGCTAAGGACAGATCGTTGACACTACAGGTCTTGTCCTTCTCAGCGCATGGTCATTCAGCAGAATGCTGTGAGGGTTTTGCGGCGTTTTCCGAACTAGGATTTCATTGTACTGGTTTTCAGTTATATTGCATAAGACCTATGCAATGTAGACCTGATTCGGAGAAACTCAGAAGGATTACCGCAAAGATCGAGCCATCGAAACATTTCGCATCGGATCAGCAGGACCCAGGAACTTCGACTTCTGCTTTGGCTTCAGGTGTTGCGTTACCCTGAATTGTAGGATTGGCTTTGACGTACACAGAACACGCGGAGCTCACATGCCGGAAATCCCTGCAAGTCAGGGCGCGTACACTCCCCACAGAGCCATGCGGCCCGGAAATGAAACCACGAAAAGCTGATGGAGCCGAGGTTGACGTCGTGAAACTCGAAGATCGAAACGACGTCGACTGAAGACAAGGGAACGGTAGGGAAACAGACTGTACCTTTGCTTGCAATCGATAATTGTAAGGACTAGCTTTTGGCCGGCCTGTGTTCCGTATATGAACTGCACGGTCAACATTAATGAGTAGTTAAAACAGCAGACCTACTTCATATCTCCAATCGACTGTATCGCACATATTATTGATTTCTTGACTTCGAAACCGGACTTTTTCAGCGATATCTGCAGAAGCGATAGCAACCTTCGCCAGCTTCGAGAGTCCGGGGCTCTGAAATGCGAACCAATAAACAGTTTAAGTTTTCTGATGCGTGTGCATAAATATATAAGTAGGTATCTAGACCATACTATTGATGCGAAAATCTCATTGTATATAGTCATAGACACACGCAGACATAATATGCTACATGTTTATATGATTGAGATATGACAATATGAATAGATATGCAACCACATGCACACAAACACACACAAACCTAGTGTGTAAAGAACTAAACCCAATCATAACTCTAACCCCACCGACCTGCCTGCAAATAGAAAATATCGAGGCTACATAGTCTAGACAGTACATGAACGTATCCTGAACCAAGTAAGCTGTAGGGGTTGCAACGGTTCAGGCACAACGTTCGCTGTCCCAGAGTCAGGCTGATTCCATACAGTCCGTGCCTGCTCTTCCGAGGCCTACTTTGCCCTGCTTTCTATTAATTTCCTCCCCAACCCTAAAACCCTAAAATCCTAAAGCCCTAAAATCCTAAAACCCTAAAGCCCTAAAACCCTAAAGCCCTAACACCCTAAAACCCTAAAACCCTAAAGCCCTAAAACCCTAAAGCCCTAAAACCCTAAAACCCTAAAGCCTAAAGATGCAAAGCAGTCGGCTCTAGTCGGGCCTGGGATGTTTGGAGGACTGTGTTGAGAATATCTTGAGGGTTTCAGGCCCTACGTGGAGCAAAGGAAGCCAGGGAAGCCTCTGAATTCACAGCCACAGGGCTTAGGAAGGTTCATGAGGACGATCTCATAGGTATCGAAGTTCATTCTAGAGGTGGCAAGCAGGATGCCGATTGTAATTCTTCAAGCCACCAAACGCACGAAGATCTAAATCCATCCTCATATTCTAAGCCCGGAATCCCGCTGACTCCAGCGTCTCCAGAGGCTACATCGAGTCCTGAACTCGACAATCCCGAACCCTACCATCCGTGATGGTGGCCCCTCGTCTCACATCGCCGCAATCTCGGGACAGAAGCCAGTGCCTGCAGCCCATCACAACACGTGTGGGTTTCTTTCGGTCTCATGATAACGATAGCATTTATTGAGCAAAGTTAAGCAAAATCCACTCCAGTCATCGCTACATCAAGTGCCGTCCAAGTTGAATCGGAGGATTAAGACAGCATGTTGGGGGGATCAGAAATGAAGCTTTGAAGACTCTTTTCCTCCACGCATCTCGCGACAGCTGCATGCAGAACATTGCCATGCTGGTTCTCGGAAGATCTGTTCAAGCTAGCTGTAAGGGCCAAGAAATGAAGCCAATCTCACCAGCATGGAGTACTCTTTCAGCGCCTCTGAAGCACTGAAAGACCCCAAGTCCGAAGTCTGAGCTGCAAATCCCTACAAATCTGCCGCACTTAGACTTAGGGCTTCTGGGGTGGGGTTGAAGACTTCAAGGCGGTAGCCCTTACTTACGGGTTAGGATTAGGGTTAAGGGTTTAAAGGCTCGTAAGAGCATTTCTGAAGGAGTATCAACTCAAGTCTCGAAATTAATCATGGAGGCTCCTAGATTGGTGCTCGTGGGCTTGTGCAGTCAAAGCAACTCTTTAGCACGAGGCCAAGTCAAGACTTGCGGTCCAGGCTGAATGAAGGTGCTAGGGTTAAAGGTTGAGTGCTGGAACTCGGGAGCCGCATGCCGGAATCCGCTGCTTACCTATCCTATAGAGTTGCCTTGCCTGCCAAGAGTTAGAACTGCCAGTAAGCTGAACCTACCACCTGGACTTATGGTGGTTGAACCCTAGCCACCTGTAAACCCTGGCCGCAGGGAAAGAAGAGCCTCTCCGCACACAAACGTCGATGATCCATGGAAGGATTTTGGGGTATCGAGCTTCAATGGGCTTTTCGGGGTTTAGGTTTTTGGTTTTAGCTGTTTTCGGGCTCGAGATTACCGCTTTAATGGTTTGCAGCCTTTGGACAGGGCTGCAGCTCGAGACATCTGCAAGCCAGGGCAACGCGCTGCAGCATATGAACCCTGAACCCCGGAGAGGAACCAGTGCTTCATTTTGGCGTCTTGAATCCTGGGCGCGGACCCGAATTCCTACTGCATAACTCCCATTGCCGAAGCCCTGCCCAGAAGCAGCAACCGAGAGTGCAAAGCCCGAAACCAAATTGCCTTTGACATGCAGAAGCAGTCCGAAGTAAGTAGAGTAGCAGCACCAGATGCACTCTGAACGTTGAGCCAGAATATGTGTCCCCTGCACAGTATTTCATAATCACGGCACGTAGCAGAGTTGGGCATGGGGAAGTGCAAACCATTGCATCATCATGCTCAGCATGTAAAGTCAGAGCGGTAGTGATTCCTACAGTAAGTGCGTGCATCATACTGACATACGAGTAGGATGCGAGCCCAGGAGCATTCAAAATAGACCTTGACAGACTCTATAGTGCCCCGAGTTCAAGGTGGCGCTGATCGACAAAAGCCTGGAACGGATCTTGAACATCGATGTTGCCCCAGGCAGAGGTTTCCCCGCCTCTGCAAGAAGCTCATTGAAGGCCGTGTACTCAAAGTTGGGTCGTTCGGGCTGTAAGGTGAACTCCTCTTTTGTTCATCTACGGAGGAAAGAGATATATACTATAGTATATAAAATATAATATATATATATATATAGATATAGTGGGGCTCAGAAGTCTTGGGCCTGATGGATCTCCCGAACTTGGGCTTGCGAGTACTGGCCTTCCGTCGGCTGCACGAACTTCTCTCCGGCATCGCGCAGCGCTTCTCGTTAATTCGGCCAAACATGGCAGTAAAGACAAGGAGGAGTCACAAGCAGGAAGCGGAGCCTGCTGAACTTCCACTTTTCTGGCCCGCAAGCAAACATCTTGAGGCTCGAGCACTAGGCTAAGACACGAAGCCCTGAACTCCTGAAGACCCAACGCTCTAGACTCTTGGTCAATGCCACCTGACACCCGTTCGGGCCACATCTTCGCAAGTGCCGGATATGGAAGGCTGCAGAAGAACATCCATAAAGAAGTCGGTTACAAGATAGAACAGGCTACAAGCCGCCTACCGCTGCAAACACCTCAATTCCGAAACCGATGTTGACTGCTTTTGTCATCTCCCTACCTCTCCCTGTACCTCAAATCCTAAGTCTCCGCTTCACAGATCGCATAGCCTCCCGCTTAGCTCGCTAACACAGGTCCAATCATAACAAGCTATAACTCTCCGGCACCTGGTATTCACATGACTTCCTGAACCACGAGCCCCGGAAACTTGCAACTTGCGAGCTGCCTCAAAGTCACACTGAAACTACCCGTGAGACATAAGTTGCAATCACTTGGCATTGGGCGGTAGCTTCTGCGAAGATATCGCTGCTCTCCTTCGCAGATTTATGTTAAACCTAATGTCGCAGTCACAAAACCGCCACCCAGCCACCCAACACAGAGTGCAACAGCCTTGCTCATGGTATGCTCTGCCCCCCTTGTTACCTCCCGCTCTTGACCACTAACTCTTGGACAGGGGGCGCCTCAGCATAAAGGCTCTTCTCGGTCTTGCGGACAGGTAGGCTCCGAGACAGGATGTGGCGCACTTCCTCCCATGTTTGAGATTTGTAGCTACTGCGCCAGTGCATGTGTGCAAAAAGTGCTCTGCACACACGTAAAAACGTTCGTGCTGACGTGATGCTACCTACGACGTGAAGAGGCGCTGCATATCGAGAGACCCCACAGATCTTCCTTGCCCTTGTCCCCAGTCAACCGGACATGTAAAAGCAACGGGGCTCATAATTACACTGATATGGCTTTAATAACCATAGCTCTGCGGACGGTAAGCAAGGAAGCATAATATCATCCGAAATAATAAGTCTAAGAAACCCCTAAACCCTAAACCCCTAAACCCTAAACCCTAAACCCTAAACCCCTAAACCCTAAACCCTAAACCCCTAAACCCTAAACCCCTAAACCCTAACCCCTAGGCCCTAAATAAAGCGCTCCAGGCCAGGGCGCCTTAAGCTCCTCCGTGAGCAGCGTGGCCGAAGGTGACATACACCGTGATGCCTGAGACCCAAAGGGTCCAAGTACCACTATAGTAGGTATAGGGTTTAGGGTTTAGGGTTTAGGGTTTAGGGTTTAGGGTTTAGGGGTTTAGGGTTTAGGGTATACTGTTACTGGGTTCTTGTTAAGGGATTTAGTTTAAGTTACCATAATAGGGATCTATAGTAAATAATATGGTTTCCCTATTATGGTAACTTAAACTAAATCCCTTAACAAGAACCCAGTAGTAGGTACTTAGTAGGTATTTGGGCCCCAGAAGTATATACTATACTAGTACTTGGACCCTTTGGGAGACTGGGACAGCGTGCTTCGGGTTTGTGGGGCGTAGGGATGACAAAGTGATTCGATTAGAGTGCTTCATTAACCCTACAAGGATAAGCTTTTGAGGGCTTATGGCTTACTGGGTTCGGGGTTTGTAGGATTTACTTACAACTTCGCATGTGGTGCTTCAGGGTGCGTCAGGTCTTTTGCTCTAGGCAGGCTCTAGTGCTTTAGATCCTAGGTTCGAGGTTCGAAGTTCGAATCTCAAGCTTGGCATCTAGGATTTCGGGCCCAAGAGCCTGAACTCGCGAAGAGCGGATTTCCAAGGCCTTCACTGTTTAAAAGCTATGACCCGAATGCAAAACACGGGAGCCCTTGGCACTGCGGACCGACGCCGCAACCCTCAACACCTATGAAGTCAGAGATGCTCCTGTCTTTGAATATAGCTCCTCGCAAATGCTCTTGAGCTTGCCGCGCCAGGGCTGCACTCTGCATTTCCTGGTCTTCGATGGGATAAGTTGAGGGATTCGAGCTTAGAAGCGTGAAAAACGGTGTGAGTACCTGACAGAGACCCAAGTCCACAATCACGAGGAGTTCTTGCCTACCGCGAAATGCTTGTCCAAGTCGCGATAAGCCAGCCGCCTCCGTGTGCCTCCGTGACACTCAACATGGCCTTGCTCAAACTTCCGCGAAATGGTCGAGTCGAGGTTTCAGCGATGGCAGTCTAAAAGGTACAGGGCAGGAGATGCCGGGATGAGGGATTACAAATTACAAGCCCTGAGCCTTCTAGCACTACACGCTACACCCAAAAGCTTTCTGGAGTCGGTCATCTGCATCCGAGAATCGAAACACCCGTCAGATCAGACGGCCCAAAGATACTTCTAGGGCTTCAGGCTTCAGGGTGACCTCTGGGTTTTACAATTAAGCTGAGAAAGGACTGCGGTTCTCTGGCTCATCCAGCTCAGAAAATCCATGCGACAGCCGCCTCCAACAAAACAACAAGGGCAAGTGAAGCCCTCCTCAACCAGGACCCCCCAAGGACCTAAGGACCCTTTAATAGAGCCCTTGTGGTCCTTAATAGTGGGTATTTAGGGTATATTAGAGGGTAGTTGGGGGGTCTAGGAATAAAAAGACGGAGAAAGAGACGCAAACATGCCCTCTCAAACAACATGCAGGGATGGAAAGCTTCAACGGAGCATCGTCTGCTAAGTCCCGAGAGTGCACTAGTTGCAAGTGCCGGTTCGCGCGTTCAGAAGCCTCTTGGCATGGATGCCTTGTCAAGCTGTGATTCAAGCCTACAGCCATGTCTGCTAGAGAACGAAAGAATGGGCTTAGGAGGGAAGGGTGACGGCTGAGGAACTAAGGAGTGAGGTCCTGCTTGGTTCCGAAGATTGGAGGGTAGAGTTTAGGGTCCAACTTTCGGCCCGAGATACTGGTCCGAAATTGGGGTCATATGCAGGAAGTCCACCGCAAATACATGTGATCATCTCGGTGACATCCTGCGCAAAACGGATCATCTGGGCAAACAGGTCTCTAAAGTCACACAGGTCACCAGACTGCGTCAGTCTGCACATAGAGTTTCCCTAGATGAACCATTTGTCAGCTTGACATCCACGCTCTCCTACCGAGAGCACAATACGGCAGAACCCCCTTCTCTTGAATCCAAGAATGACTCTTGCACTACACGAGCCACTGATGGAGCTCAGCCGTGCCTTCTACGAGATATTGGGTCTAGCGCAAAGATCCAGGAACTCCCAGTGCAAGGCGAAGTGGCATTTTAAACCAGACCCACGCAATTCAAAGCGTCCTACTCGCCGAGGCGTCCGGTCTGCTAGTCTAGGCGCCTAGGGGGGGGGAAGTGTAGGTTCGTGGGCCTACATGCGTCTTCCAGCCACTATGCTATACCGTTTGTATCTATACTGCTACACCGGAGTACCCGGCCATCAACCCAGGCTGGCCATACTTCGATTTGAAATCTAGGATCGGGCTTTACCACCCAAATGCCAATCAAACTTGCCTGAGGCCTGAGCGAGAGGCACCAGAAAGCAAGGCTTAATCCGAAACGTGCAGCTGAACCCTCCACCCTGATGGACCCCACATGACTCTACAGGCTAGACCAAAACCATGAAGCGCAAGCAGTACTGTGTCCCCCCGCTGCGCCTGTAGTGTGTTCTCGCTCTCCGGCAGGTTGCCTCGGATTGGCCTATCTTCGATTCTGATGACATTAGGTAGGAAGCCCTGGCTAGCGGCTCGGGGTGCTTAATGTAAGTAGATTCTAAGATTCGTAGGTTTTGGTGGGGGTGGGGGGGTCCATGGTCTACGTTCACCGTATGACAATATGTTGAATGACACAGGCGTTGCTTCAGTTTCTGTTCTGTTGCTGCGAACGGAGTTCGGTTCAACGCGGCATGGGGTGATATTGAACGGGACGACAGCCTTTGCCGCTTTGACGGTTTTCGGCCTGGGTCTTCCCGGATCTGGCAAATTGCTGGCGAAACCACTTCTAAAGGTCCCCAGAGCAACGCTAGACGATGAATCTGAGCAATCCAAATCAACCCGGCACCAATTCCCAGGAGGATGGCAAAGCTTCGGGGGCTTAGGGCATTGGGGTCCACAGGGCTTAGCCTCTGGTCTTTCAGAGAGAGCACTGCGGCATTCTAACCAAGCCCAGGGCTCAAAATGTCGGGATTCGCTTTGAGGGCCTCAGCCTTCTGAGAATGCTGAAATCCCTTCCTATTCAGAAGCCCAAGAATCCCCGATGCAACACGCCAACCCTGCACTGTGCACACAAGCCCCAAACCAAACCGTGCACCGTTCTGTGCACAACCAAAAACATCTCTGACCAGAACCTTAGAAGCTGAAATCCGAAAACCTGCCATCTTCTTACACCCAGGAGCCCAAGAAGATGTGCTTCATACTCTGGATCTGCGATGGTGGCAATGGCGGTGCGGCTTTTGCTTTCGACCCAGAGACCGACCCAGATAGCGCAGGAAGTGCCTCGAACCGTCAAGTGCGGCTCTGGGTCTCAGGTTGTCTGGGGGCTTAAGTTTCGGATCTATAGGGCTTTACCCATCGGTCTCCTGAGTGAAGCCTCTTGGATTCGGCTTTTGCATTGGGAGTCTGTTTTGACTTGCGGGTGAGGGGGGTCACAAAGTTGCACGGAATTGAGTCCTACACACCCTGAAGCCTAAGGGCCTATAGCCCTGAACTCCTAACCCTGTATCCTAAACATCCTCGTAGAGTCTCTTGGCTATACACGGAAACAGAGCTTGATACTTTGGACTGGTGAGTTTCCTTGAACATCAGGGGTGCAAGTCCTATGGGTTGGAGACATCGCTCAGAGCCAATACTGAGAGAGAGAGAGAGAGCGAGAGATATATACATATATATATATATACATATATTTTATCTATATAAATATAAATGACTAAATAAATAAATAAATATATATATATATATATGTCGAGAGATGTGTCTATGCCATGGACGAAAGCAGGCACATCGGAAGTACTGTGCCGTCATCCTGGCCAGCCTCGTCAACTCTAACACCAAGGCCTAAACCCCCAAACTTTTCTTCCCGAAGCTTTGCTACTAGTAAGCCGCAACAACTACCCTACATGTAGCGAACGCCCGCCGAAAGCCTTTTCCGCTCAAGTCCACGGTGTAGCAAAACCGCAACCCCAAACTCAAACCGTCCTAAGCGTCCGAGGGAACAATGTCGTGAATCCAAAACCCTCAAACCCGCGAAGCCTGAAGCCGCTTGCGGCGTCTCTAGTGGCATCGCACCTCCTATGATGAACACTGTAGAGCAGTTTGACTCTTATTCCTCAGCAGCGTGAAATTTTTCGTCTCAAAGTGAGAGAGCTCATCGAAACAGGTTCAATCCGGAAGAGGTCTCTTCCTCGACGAGGAGCAGCAGCAGCCAGTGGAGGAGGCGGGGGTGGCACCAAAGTCGAGTTCTGTGACTTCGACGCGCTTGCAAAGTCGTTTTCTCTCGTATCCTCCTTCATGGCGTGCAGGGGTCAAAACTTGGGGTTTCAGGCCATAGGGTTTTGGTTTCAGGAATGCCTGGTTTTGTCCTCTCATGCAAGGCAAAGCTTCGGGTTTATGCTATACATCTTCGGACAGAAACCCGCACCACAAACGTTTGTCGATGCCTGCAAAAAGATCGACTTGGTCTAAGAGCTCGCTGTGGCTTTCGTCATGCGAATACAAACCGCTGCAAGAGAACACACGGGTATCATGAGCAATGATCGCATTCATGCAGCGGATAGCCCGGAAAGCTTCATCTGGCTCTATGATTTGAGAGCCACGCGGGGCCTGGGTATGCCAAACTTGCTTGCCATGTACGGTATGACGGTTAGTGTACGTAGCACTACTGGCACTGAGAAAGGCCCACAGGCCAAGGCATCAATGCTCCTATAGGGAAACGCGCATTCGAGTGATGACCGCAAGAGTAGAATCGAGTAGAAATCATACACATCGCTAAGACCATGATACAACCCACGACCACACAGAAAACAAGCTTGAATCACAAACACAACCGCATTCTCGGTAAGAGGCGATTACCAAATCAAGACCGGTATTCGGAGTTCCGCACAAGGTTCTTACTGGTGGTAGGCAAGGAATTCGAATTCATTTAGAACCATCCGCGAGATGAAAGGCACAAGGGTAGGGGCAGGCGATTCCATAAGAACCGGATGATCCACACAAGCCTTCTAAAGTCAGGAATCCTACAAGTCCTGTCTGAAACGGCCCTACAGACTTCCAACATGCGCACACATGAGCTTCTCTCCAACCCGCAGATGACCCGAGAGACTCTATGAGACATGGTTCAACAGGCCAGCAACTGTCGATTCCATACAACACAAGTGTTGCGGCCTTCGCAACCTACTCAACACCTCGAATCCTAAAGCCCTAAACACCCCCGTGTGAACAAAACTCTTCTGAAGCCACAAGAATCGCTCTCCTGCGCTGGAAGCTTTTCCTCAGCTCCTCCTAGCCCTGTCAACATAAGATAACTCCAATCACTCCGTCGAAATCCTGCTGGCATAAAGCTTCTAGACCCCCCTCGCGCCACGTCGATCTCCAAACTCCAAACCTCATATCGTAAAGCTATACCCTTACTTGGGCCCTCCGCCTCGGCGAGAGGCCCAAAAACCTTCCTCAAAGTACACCCCGCAGCCCCGAGCCAACCATTGCAACTCTAAACCCTTGAGCCCCAAAGCCGCTGTGCCCTCATTGAGGTTCCCAGTTCCTTGAACCCTGTGCTCCTGAGGGAGCAGCCCAAGCCTACGCAGAGGACCAACATCCATGGGAAGCGCTGCGCCGTCCTCGTCTTCAGGAAAAGTACGCACTCGTGTTCCAGGGTGCCCCCCAACCATTTTCATTGCCTCGCCCCTGGTTCTCCAAGTGTGCAAAGTTCGAGCCAAGCAAGCTTCAAGGAATTCACGGTGCAGGTTTTGCTGCCTCTAGGCTGGAAACCCCTAAACAAAAGGGCCTAAACATAAACAGAGAATAGTGTCTTGAAGGGCCAGCCAGGTCTTAAGTAGTAAAAGAAGGGGCAGCCACAGGAACAACGCCAGAAACGGAATGTGACATATTCATTGCCGGGGGATTTCCTAGCTTCGATCGATAGCAAGGCTAAACTCGGCGTTGCTTAGAGTGCCAACCACGGCCACACACAAAGCATTGGGCATCAATCTCACACTCACGTGGATCGAGCCCTGACGATACAACTCCGCAACCGAAGTCACATCCAAAGGTGCTTGCACCCTCCGGACGTTGACGCAGAAGGCGCCAAAACCTCACACCCAAAATCGAAACACTCGTCTAAAGCCCTATGCCCAGATCGCTAAAGCCGTGATCCCGAAACCCAAACCCGTAGCTCCGCTGAATGCAAACAAGCATCCGGTGCCGGGACAAATTCCGTCGGACGATCGATGCGGAGCTTCCTTTTGCTGGTTAGGGCTTGCACATGTTTGCGCTGATGCCGCCGAAACCCTCATCGTGGAAAAGTACTTCGCATGTGAGACGTGGCGCCTGTAGAAAGCTTAAACATTTTCTTCGCATCGCCCAGGGTTGTTTTTTGATTCGCATGCCGAGGAAATCCACCAGTAACCCTGTGTACAGTAACCACAGTTGCAACCACCCCAGGAAGAGAATCCCGCTACGTACCCTGACAACTGTCGACTAGGCGGCCCTGTGCTGTTTTTTCTGACTTCCAGCACACTAGAACGACGACTATGGACCTTTTCGTATTTTTGATACATGGCACGTAACAACCCAATACAGGGGTCAAGCCATGACTCCGGAACAGTCTTTCCCATGCCGAAGTCACAAGAAGGCATCCGACTGTGCATTCATCCATGCCAGACCCTGTACTACCATGGGGACAAAGAAGCCGGCCACAGAACTCCATGCCGTAGAATAACATTGCAGTGCTTGCCAGCTGTCCATCCAGGAAGACCACGAACCTCAGGCGTTCCGATATGCTACATCTAGACCAGGAAGCTCGTCTCGGCCCCTTGTCCAAACAGTGAGTGAGCGTAGATCCCACATGAGAAATGCTTCAAATGCACTTACAAGACGAGAATGCAACAACTTCCGAAGCCTGACCCAGGGGCTACTAGGGGGCCCAAGCTCAACCGTGAAGTCCTACAGTCCCGGAACCCCGATCTCTACCGCCACAGACTTCAGACCAATGTAGGCCCGAAGAAGCCCATGCCCAACTCTCGAGATGTGTTGCTCATCGTCATTGAAACTCCACCATGAATCTCCAAGATATCCGATTGAAACAAGAGGTCGAATAAGCCTAACGGACAGACCAAGGTTCGGCGCGGGGTTTGGGGAGTAATAACCTCCTTATAGGAGGAATGTTTACTTAGCGCATCTTATACGCTTGCCGGTCTGGGGTGTTGCAATGAGGAGCGTCCGGCGTCCAACGATCCAGCCAAGCTGCGCATAATCGCCTCGGCCCCGAACAGCCACCTGCGAACATTTGTCAATCAAAAGTCGCCACAGAGTAGAGACCGCAACATCTTGGATCCAAACCGTGGGGACCCGCCTGACAGCAAAACCAACTGCGACCCCTGGAAGCCGAAGACGCCTTGAACCATGGACAGCGAAAAGTCTTCAATCCTGGAACCTTGGACTTTAAAACCCCTACTGTTGAGACTCTCCCACCTTCTGCACAGCGGAGGTGGTCCTGTCCCAGTGAAGGTACCTGAGTAGCTTTCAGGATTCATTGCGCGGGGGTTTTGGCATGACGTGTCCAAGTTGCAGCCCCGCATACCTGCATCGTCTACCCCAAACCTGTACTGCAGCATCCCGAACTCCAAGCCCAAGACCCCACACCCCCTGTCCAGCACCAAAAGGCCCTGTGCTCGCCTGAGTACACAGCCAGGATCTATACCTATATCTATCTGTATATAAATAGTATATATATATATACACACATATATATTGAATTGAAGACTGCACCCTCATGATGTGACGACGCTAACCCGAAGCTTCAACGATTCAAACACATACCATCACGGTCTAGCAGATTCAGCCAAATCAAACGATTTCCGAAGCAGGCCCAAACTCCACTACTCTACCCCACACGGTAAAAACCCTAAACCCTGAACCTTACAGAAACTTCGCGCCCCCAAAAGGACACCTTCCCTCCTTGCCAGAGCACTGCTTTTGATACAGCGGCAGCGCTCGGAAGCGAAGCTCGAAAGCCTGGACAACTCGTTAAGGCCAGTGGAACTAGAGCCGAGAATGTCTAAACACCAGGGACAGATCTCGAGTTGTATTCCTGTGATATATATATATATATATTATATATATATATATATACATATTTCCAATTCCGAAGGACCCAAGAAGCGGTTCTGCTTCAAACAATCTGTGCAAACGTAGTCAAAACTGGTGCGACACTTTTCAGCAACACCCAACATCATTCACGATCAGCCCAGGCCCGAGAGGAATAGTCAGCAACGGCAAGGTTCCTGAGGCATTTGGCGCACGAGTAAATAGTGCTGTATGCATTTTTTGTGCAACTCCTCAAACCCCTCACAAAATGATGACGCATGATCACCAATCGCACCTCACTCTCTCTGTCTCCCTCCTCCTCGTCCTCGTCCTCATTTTAATTTTATTCAGAGAATCACACTCGCTCACTCTCCCTGTCTCGCTCGCCGCCCTTTCGCTTTCGCTAGCTTGCATTTGATTTGTCTGTCTCTTTAGAAGATTGTGATGACGATGGTGAGGAAGATGATGTTCATGATGGCGACGATGATAATGATGATGGTGGCAATGATGGTCGCCACTGCGACATACCTAGCATGTGTTGCTTGAGGATCTTCCTGCCCAATCCGTAATCTTTTCACGCAAAAAAGAAAACACCCGGAGCCTTCGAACCCTGGCCTAATCATCCCCAATCCTCACAGAAAGCCCCGAACCCAAGAACGTGAAAATCAAAGCTTGAATTGCACGGAAGTGCCTCTCGCAGCTCGACGGCTGTTACTTCATCCGCACTCAGATTGCCAACAAAAACCTCTGCGAAGCTTAGGGTTTAGGTTTGGGCCGCAAAGTTCGCTGTCTGTCGTCACAGCATGGTGTACAGACACTGGGTCATTGGTACCTGCTTAGGGGGAAAGGGGAAAATTAACAAGAGCAAGAACACGGCATGTGCCAAGTGCTCCTGGCTTCACTTCAAACTCTGCCGCCTGGACAGAGTCTCAATATTCGAGACTTTTGGGGCATTGCTACCTCCAATCCAATGCCACTTGCATAAACCCTCAGTGGCTCTAAAGTTCAAGCCCTGGACAAAGAACCCTCACAGCTCTTCCCGAAAGCTCCTATGCGAGAAGACCCTCGAGGCTGCAAACTCCAGAGCCTAAACCCCCAAACCTTCATGCCTAAAGCCTGTGACCTGAAACACTGAAAGCCCATAGCACTGAACCTAAAGCCCCAAGAAACAAAACACACACACACACACAGCAGGCCTCAACTCCTTAGGCCCGGGACCTGAAGTCCCTGAAATCCTGAAGCCCCGAACCTGCAGCCGCAAGCCCGAAAGCTTAAGCCCCTGCAGCCCTGAACTTCCGACCTGAAGCTCTGAAGACCCGGGCAAGGATGCGGCCTTTCTGTCGGCTTCAGTTGCCTGTCTCAATGCAAGTTTAGGCTTGGAGGGAAGTGAGTCGGAGTTGAGCCATGAGGTGCACAGCCTTGTGGGTATAAAGTTTTGAGTTGTAAGTGGGGCTCTGGGTTTAGAGTGTGGAGCTTTGAGTCCTTGAGCGTAGGGTTGAATGTTAAGGGCGCTCAAAACGGGATCAGGGTGCAAGATTAATGGCTTTGAGTTTACGTTTCAGGAGTTTAGAGTCTTAAACCAGGATGGCAGGTTCAATGGCGAGCCGGAGTAGTTAGTAAGAATGCCGAGGCGTCTGAACCGTAAACCCTAGCTCTCTATGTAACCAAGGCCCAGACCATACACCCCAAAGGTCACCCCTTGCTCATACTCTAAAACCCCCCTTACCTGAAACATCCCCTGCACTGCAATCACTAATAGATCCTTTCCATCTTTCCCAAACTTCACGTATCGCCGGACTGTTGTGATGCCCATGACGTGTTGTTGCAGGTCTACGGGTTCCTACGCGGGCCGAAGGCTCACAATGCTTCTAGAACGAGAAAGAGGTGGGTAGTTCTCTAAATTAGGGTCCCTTTTGGGGTCCTTTTTATAAGGGTGCCGTACTAGATTGGGGACCCAAAAAGGGACCCTAATTTAGAGAACTACCCAGGTCGACAAGGAGACGGGGCCTTGCTGGGCCGACGCCATCTCGGCACTGACCGTGCAAACCAAAGCCGGTTCGGCGCAGGCTTGGGTGAGATCACCTCCCCAGTGCCCAGAGTGGAGGCTTCAGGGACGACTAGGATTTCATGTCTGAGGGCTCTGCCACCGCTCATATCAACAACGAAAACCGAACCAGCTCGCAAGCAGAAACATCTCCAGTACTAGCTGCATCAACACCCAGTGCCGAAACCCCAACGACCCACGACAGCCACCTCAAACAGCAGCGGCACAGCAGCCACAACAAATGCAGCAACACCAACGTTACCACAACGACGACGAAACGAACGCGACGACACGATAACAACAAAAGCAACAGCGACAACACCACCACCAACAACAACACCAACAGTGTAATCCCTATACAACCAGCCTCAACGTCGTCTTCTGAAGACTCTGCCGGCGACTCGGAGGAGGTCCTGGGTTGCCGGAGGCTGTCAGGGCTGGTGGGCGGAGTGGCTGAGGGTTTGGGGATGTTTGGTGGTTTAGGGAAGGGTTGAAGGGTTTGGGTCGAATGGCCAAGCACGATCGGCCAGAACAGCATACCGTTTGTATACGGATGACCAGAGTTGTTCCATTGTTGTGTCGACCCGAACCCCATTTATTTCATGTGTAGAGTCTATGCGGAAGGAAGATCTGGCATAGTAAAATGCGGTGTTGTAGCTAGTACTGGCAAACAACTGACTAGACTAGTACGATTATTACACTGAGATGAACACTACCGCTAACAGCCAAATATTAAAAATAAAACTACCCGGCAGCAGCAACAGCAGGAAACACAACAAGCAACACGTAAGAAACAACCAGCAGCAAACACCAACAAGCGACCAGATTGCTACTGCTGCTGCTTCTGCTGCCACTGCTGCTCGTACTCCTACTCCTACTTCGACTCCTACTCCTGGTCCCACTCCGACTCGTGCTCCTGCTCCTGCTCCTGCTCCACGTACTACTACTACTATTACTGCTACTACTACTAGTGCCACCACCACTACGATACCACTACTACTTCTTGTGCTACTACTACTGTAAGTGTTAGGGAATCATGTGCGGTGTAGGATGCGATATAAGTCAGACATGTAACGCTAGTAGTAGTAAGAGGTTCACAGTTCCGTTTTTGTTGCTTCTTGCACGGGCGTGAGACCTAAGGGATCTTAGCGTTGCGGGTTCTTACGAGGCAAATAGATGGAACCTAACCTCCATTCGCTCTGCAAAGCCTGCGCAAATCCGTGTTTCCATACAAGGCAAGGTTGAAACTAAAGTCAAAATCGCACTCAGGCCCAACCACAGGCCGAGCCTAAGCCGCCAAACACCCAGAACCCTATACGGACTAGGAACTTGGCGAAATTCAAGGCTTTTGATCTGGGATGGACGATCTGCACGGTCTGCCAACTCAAACGGGGCTGCTCCATCAATGGCCATGTGTCGACGAATCTGTATCACTGGCGGCCCTTGCCTTAACCGCCATGTCCTCCTGCAGCGATGAGGGTCGGGGTTATATGTGTAACCTCGATTTTGAAGAAGTCTATATAGCGTTTGGTGCTTTCAGATTTGGTACGCTGGAACGCTGGCCGAATTGTCAATGTCAAGACCCACAGACTTCGTACCCATGTTGCAGCATTGCAGACTGGAAGCTTTTGATCCACACATTACACACGTAGTTATAATACAAACAGGTAGAAACGCTTGCAGTGAGGCGCTCGGACCACTCGGTGGTTAAAGAAGTGCACACTCCGCTACAACTACAAGCCCTGCATCTCTCACATGTGCTTGTATGTATGCGGACTACGCACTGTATGCGTCAAACCTTCGAGACGAAGCGCGAAACCCGCAGCCCTGCCTGCACACCAAGCTCTGATCCATAATGAAGTGAAGCAAAAACCCTGCTCAAAAGACCGGACATGTGCGCGCTTAGCCCAACACGGTGGGAACGCGGTACAAATGTGCTATGCCTTCCGAAAGCCTGCAAACCCTCAATCCTACACAGCCACAAACCTTCAACACCCAAAGCCTACGTCATCAACCCTTGACCAGAAACCCGTAAATCACTACCGGTCCTTAGCATCCTACGCCGAAACCCCTGCCCGAGGTCAGACCTTCGTGTCTTCAGCATCGAGCATTGTGGCGGTCGCAGGGCGGAAGGCAGCCGGAAATCCTTTGGTCTGGCGATAAGATGATGGTTGTTTTCTAATCTGCAGGGAAGGGGGCGCACAGTATAAACGCTAAAGTTAAGGCAGGGCAGCCTGTAATTTTAGAAGGAGCTGCCAGCTTCAGGCTTAGGGTTCAGGTACGTAGGGATTCTCCCAGTCTGCGGTTGCGTACTGCTTGGTCTAATCTACCATTCTTCGGAAATACCCGGTTCATCGTCTTGGAACCTGTGGTTTTGGGCTTCGTGTTGGAATACAGGCATCCGGGTATCACCATGGGACCTTTGGAATTTGTTTCAGACATGACACGCCTAGGTTCTAGGGTGCACACGGTTCTAGCAGACACAACGGCTTCACGCCAACCAGATACATCATCTTTCCAAGGCTAGGTTAACGCAAGTCCGGAGAGTCCACCCTGAAAGACACCTGCTTTGAATTTGGTGAATATCATGTTGAAAAGTAGGTTTAGAGCTGAAATTTCAAGTCCCAGACACCAATGCACCGACGGCAGCAACAGCCCGGGACGCAGGTCACATCTGCCTCCATATTGGAAATTCAAACAGGTTTCGTTGTGCTTCCACCTTGCCGAATCAAGGTCCACTGCAAGGGTGCGAATTTCAAGGCCCTCAAGATTTCCAAATAAAGGTCCAAAACTCAGAGACATTGTAGCAAACAGGCTCGAAACCCCGGATAACCCCCAGCCTCTAAATTCACTAACCTGAACTCTGAACCCTGGAGCCTACCTTCGGTGCATTGCGAGCAAGCGCTCGGTAACGGGCGGCTTTGTACCAGGTGCTGAGGCCGTCCTGGGACTGAGGGTTTACGACTCTTTCTCCCTCTCCCTCTCCCTCTCCCTCTCCCTCTCCCTCTCCCTCTCCCTCTCCCTCTCCCTCTCCCTCTCCCTCTTCCTCTCTCTCTCTCTCGCTCT